AAACTTTTTGTGTTCAGTTTGAAGTGGCTCTCTTATCACTCTTATCACTATTTAATACAACACATTCACTCTCACACACTAAAATATTCACTGGTATTTCGTCTTGTTAGAGCAAGATTTAAGGAACTAAGAGTGACTTGTAATTTAAGTCCAATAATTTAAATGTTTTTGATTCTTTTAGACCAGGGGTGGGGAACCCTGGTCCATCGAGGGCCACTATCCAGCATATTTTAGTTTCAACCCTGCTTCAACACACCTGATTTCAATCAGCAGGTGATTAACAGGCTTCTGCAGAGCTTGATGAGTTGCTGAACAGGTGAATCAACCACATAATCAGAAGTGTTTGAGCAAAGGCATGCAGGATACTGGCCCTTGAGGACCCGGGTTCCCCACTCCTGTTTTAGACATAATTTAGTATACCTAAAACCTTTTTACTGGACATTTTATTTGTATTTATTTACAGACTGGTCTACAGCCTAATCCTTTATGGCTTTTAGACTCTTACAATGTGGCATGCTGTACTTGATCCAACCAGTGATTTAGCATGAACTTACCTGTCCTAGCATAAACCATTAGAAGGCATTACAGTCTGTACACCTGGTCAAAATTACACGGCAGCATCTCGGGTGTTTTATCCTTTCACTACAGTAGGTTTTACATGGAAAGCTGCCAGACGAAACAGATGTGTTGTTAAGTAAACGAACATTACAGTTTTGGGGTAGCTGTCTGTAATACTGCAGCTGTAAAAAATGTTTAAGCCTGATTATTTGCGAAGTACATTTTAAACAACAAATGTGGAATTTGACGATGTGTTGCCTTGGAATGTTGCCTGATGATTACTTTTTAATTTCAGTATGCTTGATTTTAATGTGTTATTGTGAACTTCACTGTGAAAGGTCAGAAGTTGAGTATGGATTGATTTTATTTTTAAAGGGTCTTATCTTTTTCAAAAATATATAAAGAGGTGGAACAGACTAATCCTGAGTTAGTTTTCGTTGCACGAACATCTTATTACATATACAGACGAAGCTTGAAAATTCGGAATTTTGTGCAAAAGCCCATTTATTTCAGTAATTCAACTTAGACTGAGAGACCATTTAAAGTAGCACAGAACAGTTTCCTGCACCTCTGCCCTACTGGTTCAAAGTAGAAGTACAACTGTCGTAAACAACCCTGCGGCAGCTTGCTGTGGCTAGTGCTAACAGCGAGCTAACACTAACATGAGCCAACTAATACTAAAATAAACCACAAAGTAAAAATTCACACTGTTGGACAAAAAATATTATTATTTACAAATCCAGGAGCAACAAAGCCAGGTCACCATCCGTCCATGATTTTGTAGCTTCCTTAAGCTCCCTCAAGTTAGTGTAGGCTGTGCCGATATTCATTCCAGTTTTAGCGCTTTGCTTCACCTCCAAAGACATTACTCACTTACTTTTAATTCCAGGCTCTGCCTTGATGCTAATTGAAAAAGCAAACTTCTTTTTCCTCTTCTTGTGCTTTTTATTGTTTATTTTGATGATCAGTGAACTGAAAATGCTAACCGCTAGCATTACAGCTAACAGTCATAAAGCAGATAAAGAGATCCCCCTAGAACACCCACTCGCTTCACAAAACTGTCTAGTGTGGTTTTTGGTCAGCAGAGGGCTGCATAGTGGTGTCAAATAATAAACTGGTCAAGTGTCCAACTCAACAATAACTGAAATCAATGTTAAAGCTCTAGCTTAAAGTTTAAAAAGCTATCTACTGGTACTTTGAAGGCTCAGGAATGCTTTGCATGGCTTTTGGATCGTTCGCTGATTAGAGTGTGACACTTTAAGCTAGGGCTGGGCAATAAATAGAAAATGTATCGCTATCGAAATTTCTGTCTCTCATCGAGATACATTTTCCCATATCAATACATTTGATGATTAAAAAAATGAAAAGATGTGTGTAGGTTGGCAACATTCATGGCCCTATAAGAAGCTGTACCATCTTGAGTCACGTAAAAATGTGACTCAAAGTGATACATGTGACAGCCCCATCTAATGGACAACTTTTGTTTCTGCACATACCTGTAGTTATCGTCCATTTATCGTTATCGAGGTGAAATCTTCACTATATCGTGATATTGATTTTAGGCCATATCATGCAGCCCTACTTTAAGCCTAGAAAATGTAACGTTTTATCAATATTCTAATTGTCTGAGATTTTGAATTTGGGGTTTTCATAAGCGGTAAGTCATAATCATCACAAAATTATAACAAATAAAGCATGATGAAATATCCGGCTTTGCATGTAATGAGTCTGTCTCGTATATATTAGTTTAACCTTTTAAAATGGAATTTCTGAAGTAATTGAATGCTTGCACCATATTCTAATTTTTCAAGTTTCACCTGTACTTTGTTGTTACCCAGTGAGTGAAAGAAGACAGAAAACTTCAGAGGTCAAAGATCTCAAACTTTTGTCATTTAAAACCGATAAAATGTATCAAAATTAGGGCTGCACAATATATCGAAAAATTATCGTCATCGGGATAACAGGACATGTGATAGGCCCATCGTAAAGCACGTCAAAAATGGCGATAAATGTTTGGTTCAACATTTCCATCTGTGTCATACATCAACTTTTTGTAAACCAGCTCTGTTTTTTACGCGGGAGTATTATTTGACCAATCAAATGTAGCACTTCTGATATGCGGCCAATCAGATGGGTCCGTTCACGTAATACGCCCGCCCCCTACGTAGACCCTTAGGATGGAAAGCAACACCCGAACTGAGTTAGCGGCGCTGTTCCCTTGTTTGTCATGCTGGCTCAGAGCAATGAACGCACTTTGTGCTGAGGTTTCTGGAATCAGCGCTGCTTTCAAACGTTAGCGTGAGTCCGCTCGGTGTCGTTAATCATTTTTACCGGGCTGACTCTGACACGTGCCGGTGAACCAACCCACCTTCATGTCGCTAGTGTTCCACCGGGTGGTGATGTTAGCCCCAGGCTCCGGTTAGCTTCCAGCTAAAAAAGGCCACAGCACTCTCCACCCAGTCCCACCCTGCCAAAGAGGGCCTGGAAAAGTTCCCCCACACATCAAAGTGATTTTTCATTTATGGGCTTTTATAACCTTGTTGACCAGGATAGTTGATTTGCTGCTGCACTTAAACTGTCAGTCAGAAGCTCAGCTAGAGGAGCTAGTTCAATTTGTTAGCTTATCAGAATCATAGTTGCAGTTTCATCATCTGAGCTGCTTTTTAAGATCTAGGTAAACTTGTTCAATTTGGGGTTAGAAACAAACGTTTTCACTAATTTTCCATGTAGTTATTTTTTTGCCAGTTCCTCTTCTGAAAGGTAGATAATTGTTTTTCTCTTTCCCTCAAAAAATCTTTCTCCTAGTTTGGCCCAGCACAGATCACTTCCCAATTGCAGCAACAGCCTTATATCATAACCACATAAGTGGAGAAAATGTTCAGTAGCAATGAAGTGATGTTAACGATTATTTAACATTTAAACTTACTTTCTGATTTTTTTATTTATTCAGAAAACCCTGGTAAGGGATGTTTTTCTGTATTTGGAGCATCAGAAAGTTTTATGGTGGAGGTGATGTTTTAAAGTCACTGAGAAACTGCATGCATGCAGTTTGCTGTTTTGCTGCTAATACAGTAGCCGGTGCAGCTGCACATTTTTGCAATAAAAATGTTACGTTGTAATGGAGTTCATGCATTAGTTTTTGTTTGCTTTGAATCCAGAGCAGCCATCAAACGCCAGACGACATCAACACTGCATACTTAAGTATTTGTTCATTTATCGTGAGTAATATCGATCTCGCAATATTAAGCACTGTTATCGAATATCGCAGGTTTTCCTAATACCATGCAGCCCTAATCAAAATGTTCAGTTTTGTAAAATCCAACTTTTTGTTTAAATTAGGAATTGACTACATTTAAATCTGTGGACGTTAAAGTCCCATTAGTTACCATTACACACTTCTCCGCATTTGACCCATCCCCGGGGTGGAGCAGTGAGCTGCAGCAGTGGTTGCGCTTGGGAACTACTTGGTGGTTTAACCCCCAATCCCTTAAAACAGAGGATCTAGCAGGAAGGCATTGGGTCCCATATTTAAAGTCTTTGGTGTGACCCAACCTGGATTTGAACCCCGACCTTCCAGTCCCAGGGTGAACACTCGTACCACTGGGCCACTGAGAAGAATTCGGCCATCTGTTCTGATCTGCACTTTTAAACCATCTACTGTAGTTTATGCTTATGTAACTGCCGTGGCCGCCAAGACTATCCAGTCCAAAGACGGATTACGCCCATCACTTTCTCAGGATGATGTGTATTTGTGTGCAGAGCAGCTGTGTGATTGTAGTAACAGTTGAGTGCCTGCTTGTCTTACTGACAAAACCACAAATGTATACTTGGTGGAGGAGTGTCTTTTCTTAACATTTCTCCGTTGGAATGTCGGTTTTCCTCACTCTGCTTTTCTTCTTTACAACCACATCAAACACAGATGCAGCTTTTTAAAAACAAAAACTTTAATCCTACTCTTAAAGACGGATTTAAGTTGTGGTTTGGAATGATCTCTTTGAAAGGGCTGCTGTAAAAACAAACACATTTTATATTGTGTCATAGCTGGTTCTTCATTGTTGTATGCAGTTTATACTGGGTTCTTTGTACTTCTCTAGTGTTGGTGGAAAGTGTTTGTGGGGTTTTGTTGCAACATGCATCAGTGTGCATTTGTGGTATTGTTTGAAAGCAGAATAAGGGAGGAGAGCTTACAGGCCCCCTGTGACATTAAGGTTATGATACTTTCCAGTATGCAGATTGTTGACAAGAGTGTACGAAATATGAGCGCTGTACAAAATTAATCTTGTGTTTCCACAAATGTGTGGTAAATGGGTGAACACACACCCACCCTAAGTATTAATGTTTTAATATGGTTGTGAATAATTAATATATTTTAATGCCTTGCTTACCCTTTATTTTATCCTTCCTTTTTCTCATGAATCCCATTTTGTGTTTTTCAACTTCAGTCGCTGCTTCTGTGATGACCTTGTGATTGGGTGAAGACTCCACTGGCCACCAGTATGGACCTGCTGCATCCTGGTATTACCCACAATCCTTAAATATTGGGTAAGCAGCTACTTTAGACACATTTAATACATTTTTAATGTTAGAAAACAGTCTCAATTCTATTGAAATTTTTGTTTAAAGGCCAATTTCACTGAGAAACCTTTTTTTACTTGTTACTTTATAAATATGATCAATCACTCTGAGTTTAACATGTAGGCTAAATGTGATAATAGTATTCAGCCCCTTTTTCCTGCATTAGCCACTTGCAGATAATTGATGGGGAAACACTTGCATTAGAAAAGCCACTGACCTTTGCATTTCATTGTCAAATTAGCATTCTTGGACTCGCCCATCTTGGATCCCGACGGGGAAGGCTGTTGTTGATTTAGCATCCAGGAGAGTGCAGAGAACGTATTGACTATAGACATGAATACGTAGACACCTCGCTGGAAAGCATAACAGCGTTGCCGCCATATTGGATGGGTCTCCTCACTCGCCAAAGTCAACACAGAGTGAGCAACTATGCCCGTTTTTTGTACAGCCTATGGTTGCAACAAAACGGTGACTATTGAAAACACATCAATGGGGCATCTAGTCTCGACTAGTAGAAGCTAACTCTTAGCATTAGTAACTCCACATCACAGCAGAACTCCTTCAGTTCTTTAAAATTCAAAACAGTATGTCTGACTGTGCAGAGCAACTTGTGATGTACATTATAACCGATGCTGTTCATACACAATGTGTGAATGTTATTTAGAGGCTTCCATGCTTCATCTGACATTTTAATAACTAGTCAAGTGAATATAAGTGGGACATAATGCAAAACCCAACAGACAGTCAGCCGATGTATCCTCACAGCCTGACAGTGTTTTGTAGTTTCCACAGAAACCAGCTGTAGCTAGTTTCCACATGGTTGATTGTGGTCTCTGAGGACCATCCAAGACGTACTCGGGATTCTTTTCATTCTTCCTTTTTTTCTGTTTTTTTCTGTCTCAGATCTGCAGCTGAGTCTTCAGTTCTCCAAACTGTGAAGAGTGCCGTTCTCTGACCAGCGCCAAGCTAGGTATAAAATGCTCCTTATACATTAGGTTAAGCTTTTTTTTGTTGTTTTACGTGCTCAGAAATCTGACTTGCGTGCAAAACAATGCAAAACAAAAATGATATTAAAATTTCTCCAAAAACACGGATGTGATTAACAATCCTTATTCGTATGTGTTTCACACTCCATGTATAAAACTGTATTACACGAATAAATAATGTCAGAAATGGATAATAGAGGGCCAATTGTGAGCTCTTTTTATCTTGTTTTGCCTTAAAGCAGCAACCCGGAGTTTTCCACTTTTCAGAATTAATGTATGACGTATAGACATTTGTAAAAGTGATAGTCTTACCCTGTACTTTGATCTAATGTTGGCAATACGTACATTTTCTTTGCTACGCCTGCCACCCATCCTTTAGAGCCCCATGCAATTTGAATAGTGCACCTGTCAGCGTTAACCAATAACGATTAACATCTGATTAGGTACATATGTTAATCACAGCTCTTGCAAGAGTTTGCAGAAGTACCTAGACTAATGCAGAGTCAGTGATATCTATATATCTATATCTATATTATGACACGTCTCACCTTTATGTTAATATTGTTTTATTTGATGCAGTCCACTTTGACCTGCACTAATCCAGCAACTGCCACATTTTAATAACTAGTATTAACGGTGAATACACCAATATTTGCACAAGAAGAATTTTTGTTTTAAACTCTCAGTGACACACTTTGCAGGGGGGGATTTGGCATTTAATTTTTCTTAGCGTCTGGAAAAACATCTCCTTTTGCCCCCCTTTATTTGACTTTCTGCCCCCTTTATTTTGGTCCAAGATCATTACTGGGCTGGTCCAATTAAACACGTTCTACACCCCTGCTAAGTAGACTTAATAAAGTATTTTTAAGCTAGTATAAAAATGACTGACCAATATCTTTGATTTAATTTATTTGTTAAGAACATCAAGATGCATTACAGTGAACATTATAATAAAGTAAATTTTCCAGTGCAGAGAGGAGACAACCCATAGAAGCACTGATTTGATCTCATTTCAGAGAAAAATAGAACAGATCAGATGCATCTAATAAATAAAATTACTAACAAACTCAGGAATCCGTTTCTTTGCTTCATTGTTCTGGTGCTGAAAATATCACTAATGCGGATCAAAGGAGATACACAGATGAATGCACCTCTTATTTATTATTTGGAAATTAGTTGGTGTGGTTTACATCAATACATTATTTTAAATCTGAAATTGATATGGATTGATCAGAAGTTGCTATGTGTATTGTTTATTTGAAAACTATTTACAGTGCAGCCTCAGAATTGAGATTAAATATTTTTGATCACAATAGTAAAGGAACTATTACAGAACAACATCAGAACATTAATATTTAAGTGCATGAATTAATACATCTGAACTCATGCAGTAAGAACTAGGAAATATAAAATGCTAGAACCAGACACAACTTTTAAATTTTTTTAAAAATATTAATTTGATTAAACTGATTGTTTCCTAACGTTGTTGGCATTTTCCCCACACACACAGTTAAACAAAACAATGTTGATTAAGGTGTGTATGTGTGTGTGAGAGAGAGAGAGAGAGGGAGGGAGGGGGAGGGGGGGGGGGTTAAAATAATAAAAAAAAAAAAAAAAAAAAACGGAGCGGAGGCAGTGACCGACGCAGCACGAGCCGTTTTCAGCTCTGTCTTGTCAAATGTACCTCATACGTTACGAAAAAAGTAACTTTAAATATTCAACCGAAAAAGAGGCGAGCTGAAGAAAACCTAGGGAGTACTGAAGAAACGTTAGGAACAGTGAAGCAAGCACAGAGAGATCCGTTACTGTGTGTGTGTGTGTGTGTGTGTGTGCGTGTGCGTGTGCGTGTGCGTGGATGCATGGGCTGGACTGAGCTCCCGGCTGCAGAGTTTTGTGTGTAGGAATGGGCGGGCGCTCTATGTGACTGGCCAATCACAGAGCGTGAAGACAGTCAGTTACCCAATGAGGATTTTCCTTCAGCACGATTACAGATATTTACGAGTTTTACTCGTTTCATGCTTGTATTCGTCAAAAATGCTTTATCCGTATACTCGTCTGAAATGGGTATCCGGCTCATCCCTAGCTGTAACCTCCCTGCCCTGCCTCCTCCTCCTTGCTGCCTGCCGGCTGTGATTACAAGCAACAACAGAGTAGTTCTCGCTGCTTCTTTGGTTAACAGCGCAAATAAATAAATAAATAAGTCAATCAATAAAACTTGGGATCTTGTAGGCGTGGCACTGGGATTTCAGCCGTGGTGGGCCGCCACGGCTATGCCTATGTAAGGGAAACACTGATATATATATATATATATAGATAGATAGATAGATAGATGTATGCTTCTGCACCTCTCAGCAGGTATTTTGACCCACTGAAGCAAACTGCTTCAGTTGTCTCATATTTGAAGGGCATCTTTTTCTAGCAGTGTGTTTCAGCTCCTTCCAAAGATACTCAAAAGGACTGAGGTCAGGCTCATAGAAGGCCACTTTATAATGGTCCAATTTCTTCCTCTTAGCCATCCTTGGCTGTTTTTTAGCTGTGTGTTTTGTGTCATTGTCCTGTTGCCAGACCCATGACCTGCAATTGCGACCTTTCTCTCTAGAAAATCTCTAGAATCCCAGCTCAGTGGCCTAGTGGTATGACTGTCCGCCTTGGGACTGGGAGATTGGGGTTCAAATCCTGTTCGGGTCTTATGAAAGTCCTTACTAGACCGACTCAGTGGCCTAGTGGCAGAGTGTCCGCCCTGTGATCGGGAGATCAGGTGTTCGACTCCTGGTCGGGTCATTTGAAAAAATGGGACCCAATGCCTCCCTGCTTGACACTCAGCATTAAGGGGTTGGATTGGGGGGTTAAACCACCAAATGGTTCCCGAGCGCGGCTTGTCTGCAGCTCACCGCTCCACCAGGGGATGGGTCAAATGCGGAGAATAAATTTCACCAGACACCTGTGTGTGTGTGTGTGTGTGACGACTAAATGGGACTTTAATCTTTAATCTTTAAAAATAGGACCCAATGCCTCCCTGCTTGATGCTGAGCTGTAAAGAGGCTGGATTGGGAGGGTTAAACCACTCAATAGTTCCTGAGCACAGGCGTGTCTGCAGCTCACCACTCCCCGAGGGGATGGGTCAGATGCAGAGGACAGATTTCACCACACACCCGTGATATTGTGTTCATACTGATAAATTACTAGAGTAAAATCTGGTGTAATTTAAGATCTGAAATTAATCATTAAAGAAAAATATTCATTTTAACCTACATTTTAAAGTATTATAGGACACATTATTCAAACACTTTGGATTTAACGAAATTGTTCATTCAACCGAATATGATTATATGAAGTTTTTAAGAAAGATAAGCTTTATTCAGAGAGTTGAAGATAAGAAGTCCTGCATCTTGCAGCCTTGAGGCTCATGACACACAGGACGTGTTAAGAATATTGAACCAAGCTCATCTCTTCATAGTGGTACCACGATGTCAGATTAACCTGTATGAAGCAGTTTGGCCCTGCAAGGCAAAAGTTACCTTCTGGTCATTTTTGATAAAAGAGTTAATTAATAACGCACTTGAACCATTTTGCTCCACAACGTCATTGTTAGCCTGCATTTAATGGCCAAAATGACAGCCGTCAAACTGACGGTTCCTGGGAGTTCTAGTTCAATTCAATTTTATTTACAAAGCGCCAAATCACGACAAGAGTCATCTCAAGGCACTTCACATAATAAACATTCCAATTCAGGTCAGTTCATTAAGCCTATCAGAAAAAATGTTTCCTATATAAGGAACCCAGCAAATTGCATCAAGTCACTGACTAGTGTCAGTGACTTTACAGCAATCCTCATACTAAGCAAGCATATAGTGACAGTGGAGAGGAAAACTCCCTTTTAACAGGAAGAAACCTCCAGAGAATCCTGGCTCAGTATAAGCAGCCATCCACCACGACTCACTGGGGATCAAGAAGACAGAGCAGACACACACGCGCACGCACGCACACACACACACACACACACACACAAAGCAATAAAAAAGCAATAAAAAATCAGGGAACAAGAAACGTCAACCATCAACGAAGACAAGGGGGCATATATGCTGCTGCCCCTGGCTTATGGTGTCATACATTTTTTCCATCTCTAGAGGGTGCCCTCTGACAATAACTCCAGATTTTTGCTTTAATTGCAAACTTCCAGTGATGACACTAATCATTAATGCATGCATGTGTGTGTGTGTGTGTGGGGGGGGGGTTTAAACCTTTTCATTTGCACTATATTTCAGGTCTCCTGTCCTGTGTTGCAATGATGTCGGTGGACGTAGCAAATTGTAACGGCCCTGCTGCCACGCCCCCCACCTCTCTCAACCTTCACTCCTCACACAACCAGCTCCTCGGCAGCGAGGTTGTCAAACAGGGATCTGCCACACCTCCCAAGTGTCGCAAAAAGTACGCGCTTACAAGCATCCAGGCTGCCATGGGCCTCGGCGAAACACTGCCACCTTCATCCTTACCGCTGTCCCCATCGCAATCTTCTTCAACTCCCAATAATCCCAAACTGGCCAAAAATGGAGTGAATCAGCTCCGTAAAGCTGGTCAGGACCACAACCAAAACACAACTGGTCCTGACGCTGTGGATCTTGAGAGTAACTCAGAGACTATAGTGAATGATCTCAATGTCAACACAGTAGAAGAAGATGACAGTCACTCTCTCACCAACAATGACCGAGAGGAAGACGTCTGTAAGATGGATGTTAAGCTCCACCTAAACGTTACCAGCAATGCCGAGTCTGAGCAGGTTACTGGACCAGAGGAGGACATGAACTCATCCGTGGAACTCGGACTCAACAGCAACATGGCTGATCAGGACTTTGACTTGAACATTGAGGCTGAGGAAACTGATGACATCAGCATTCTGTCTGAAAAAGAAATAAATCCTATGATGAAAGCTGAGGAAGAGGAGTTGGTGGAGGAGCTGGAGGAAGAGGAGGAGGAAGAGGAGAAGAAACCCCTACTGATGTTACAAAGTGAATGCCCTCTGAAGGAACACAAAGTTTCTCCAGTCCTTGAACTCATCTCTGATCTTGACTCCAACCTCCAGCTCCTCCAATCTGGCAAGAACTCTGTGGTGCCTCCCCCCGTCTCCCCACCAAGAAGAAACTCAGAGGACACTCCCCTGTTCTCTGTCTCCTGCCCCTCCTCTTCCTCCTCCTCTCCTGAGACAAAGAAAGACAGGAGGGCAGGAGCCAAGACGGACTGTGCTTTGAACCGCATCCAGAATCTGAACCCCAGCGATGAAGAGTTGAGCTGGACAACCCTGTCTCAGGAGAGCAACTCGCCTGAAGAGACAGGTACACAAATCCATTTCTGCAATAAACTTGATAGCTTTTGTGATTTTATTAGGTTTGATCATCTCGGCGTGGAAGTGCCACTCTGCTGCTCATTTTGGTTTCTTGTGTGCTGTGTAGTGGTTTCTCCATCTTCTCAGCTGATGACATGTTTCCATTTAGAGCAACCTTGTGTGTACATGTGCGGGTTTACAGATCTCCGACTTTGCTCAGACAAAATACCAGATGCTACAGCTCACAATAAATCTCGCCTGGGAGAGGAAGTGGCCTTGTGACCTTGTGGTTTGTTGTAGCAAACCATTTTATCTCTGCCCTGTGTGTGTGTGTGCTTACATGTGAACAGGACATGTAAACAAATCACAAGTTTATCCAAAATCCAAAGCTGAATTTTGCTCACCGGGTCAAAAAGCATACATTTGTACTTGTTATTTTTGAAATATGATCGGTCACTCAGTTTCACGTGCAGGCTGAACCTGAAAATAGTCTTCTACCCATGTTTCCGTGCATTTACCTCTGAAGAAAATAGACGGGGAAACACGGGTTAGAAAAAGCCACACAGATTAATGTCACCCTGTAAATTTGCATTCATGGACTCATCTTGACAGGAAAGGCTAATGTTGGTTTAGTGTCCAGGAGAGAGCAAAGCACCCATCAGCTAGCAGAAGCTAACCATTAGCATTAGAAACTCTAGAACACCGCAGAACTTGTGTTCTTTGTGGAGAGCAAACAAAGTCAGTGGAATTTCAGGTTAATTGAAAACGGGCTTGCTGAACACTGCACTGATTGTTTCCCTGTTTCATTGGAGCATCATAGTCTTCTAAGTAGGAACCATGTTATGTGTGATATTGTTGAATTAATTGTTTTATTCAAATGAGAAAAATGCAGGCTTTGTGTGTTGTCTGTGACATATGAACACAGCTATAGTTTTGAAATTCACTCACTCGTAGGGTCGTAATAAATATAGATACACTGAAATATTGCCATGTTTGGTTAATTCAATCTTTCAGTATTCTGAATCTGAATCTAATATTCAGTGTATCAACGTTTAATTGAGAGTTTACATTTATTTCTTTTGCGGAATGTGATTCAAACCGTGACAGTGGCAGCAGGTTCTGATACCATTGCTAGTGTCTTGGAAGTGTCTAGCCCTAATTTTCCAATTTAATTCCATTAAAAATTGCAAATATTGTCTGGCTTCTACAGGTCCTTCTCAAAAAATTAGCATATTGTGATAAAGTTCATTATTGTCTGTAAACATTAGACTTTCATATATATTAGATTCATTACACACAACTGAAGTAGTTCAAGCCTTTTATTGTTTCTAATATTGATGATTTTGGCGTACAGCTCATGAAAACCCAAAATTCCTATCTAAAAAAAATTGCATTTTTCATCTGACCAATAAAAGAAAAGTGTTTTTTAATACAAAAAAAAGTCAGCCTTCAAATAATTATGTTCAGTTATGCACTCAATACTTGGTCGGGAATCCTTTGGCAGAAATGACTGCTTCAATGAGGTGTGGCTTGGAGGCAATCAGCCTGTGGCACTGCTGAGGTGTTATGGAGGCCCAGGATGCTTTGATAGCAGCCTTAAGCTCATCCAGAGTGTTGGGTCTTGTATCTCTCAACCTTCTTTTCACAATATCCCACAGCTTCTCTATGGGGTTCAGGTCAGGAGAGTAGGCAGGCCAATTGTGCACAGTAATACCATGGTCAGTAAACCATTTACCAGTGGTGTTGGCACTGTGAGCAGGTTCCAGGTCGTGCAGAAAAATGAAATCTTCATCTCCATAAAGCTTTTCAGCAGATGGAAGCATGAAGTGCTCCAAAATCTCCTGATAGCTAGCTGCATTGACCCTGCCCTTGATAAAACACAGTGGACCAACACCAGCAGCTGACTTGGCACCCCAGACCACCACTGACTGTGGGTACTTGACACTGGACTTCAGGCATTTTGGCATTTCCCTCTACCCAGTCTTCCTGCAGACTCTGGCACCTTGATTTCCGAATGACATGCAAAATTTGCTTTCATCCGAAAAAAGTACTTTGGACCACTGAGCAACAGTCCAGTGCTGTTTCTCTGTAGCCCAGGTCAGGCACTTCTGCCACTGTTTCTGGTTAAAAAGTGGCTTGACCTGGGGAATGCGGCACCTGTAGCCCATTTCCTGCACACGCCTGTACACTGTGGCTCTGGATGTTTCTACTCCAGACTCAGTCCACTGCTTCATCAGGGCCCCCAAAGTCTGGAATCGGTCCTTCCCCACAATCTTCCTCAGGGTCCGGTCACCTCTTCTCGTTGTGCAGCGTTTTCTGCCACACAGACTTCCCACTGAGGTGCCTTGATACAGCACTCTGGGAACAGCCTGTTCGTTCAGAAATTTCTTTCTGTTTCTTACCCTCTTGCTTGAGGGTGTCAATGATGGCCTTCTGGACAGCAGTCAGGTCGGCAGTCTTACCCGTGATCGCGGTTTTGAGTAATGAACCAGGCTGGGAGTTTTTAAAAGCCTCAGGAATCTTTTGCAGGTGTTTTGAGTAAATTAGTTGATTCAGACGATTAGGTTAATAGCTCGTTTAGAGAACCTTTTCATGATATGCAAATTTTTTGAGATAGGAATTTTGGGTTTTCATGAGCTGTATGCCAAAATCATCAATATTAGAAACAATAAAAGGCTTGAACTACATCAGTTGTGTGTAATGAATCTAATATATATGAAAGTCTAATGTTTACAGACAATAATGAACTTTATCACAATATGCTAATTTTTTGAGAAGGACCTGTAGTATTGCAATATTTCATCCCCTGTAATATGATGTATATCTTAATGCCAGATTCTTGTCAATACACACCCATACTCACTCGTGTTGCTGTTTGCATGCCAGCTGGAGATTGTACCCCGTGTGCCAGTATGTGGCTTTGTTCATCCTCAGATGTGGAATTACAGCCAGTGTGTATCAGTTTTTGATGCTGTTAACTGTGTCCTCATGGAGGATCACATCCCAGTTGATTGGCACCTAGAGAAAAAGGGATGCGTGTTCATTTTAAGAATCAGGCCAGCAGACAGTAGTGTGCAGTCAAAACAAATGATCTTGTAGTGCTAGTAACACTCTGACATTAACATTACTGGTGCTCCACCACACACACACACGCATGCACGCACGCACACACACACACACACACACACACACACACACACACCTAAAACACTGCATCATCTGAGGTTTCGTCACCTACTTTGTTGTAAAAGTAATCGTCCAACATTATTTCTGTGTCATATTTGTCAATTTTGCCTCATTCGTCATCCTTTCTGTGTGATTCCCTTCCTCCTCCTCCTCCTCCTCATTTCATCTTTACTAGATATGATAAATGAAAAACAATGTGCCTGTTGTCAGGATAACAAAAACGTGATTAGGGATGTTCGGTGTTATCGGTCTACCATTAATAAAAGCTAATATTAAAATGTAATATTGAAAAACATCTGTATCAGTTTTAACTTTTTTTTAATTGCATATCTTTTACATACCAAGTACTTAAATTGAAGTAGTTGTCAGATTTTGTATGGATAATGTTTTAAGTTTAAGTATGATTGATAGGTAATATGTGGCTAGTTACTTAAAGGATTTAGTTTTGTTTTCTCCTATGAGGGACACAGCATATATTGGTATTGGTTTACATCGGTATTGGAAATTAAGAGTTCGATAATATCGTAAATTGGTAAAAAAAAAAAAAGCCTATATCAAGCATCCTTATTTATGATAACCTGTGAATGCATCCACACACACTCGGGTACCTCTGTTTTAATGCAGAAAACACTCAATGTGGTGAGGCTCCATTTAGAGGAGACGGAGGCAGGAACAACAAACCTAGCTCAGCTGCAGGGGATACACAAACTCTCTCTCTTTGTTCATTCCCGTTTTTTCAATTAATTCTCTATTTTTCAATCTCTTTTTTTTCCACCCCTCTCTTATTTTGTACTTCTCGTCTCAAGTTTTTGCTCATCTTCTTTGGCTTTTTTTCGATGCCAGGTTTTTTCAGAATTTCTGATTGGATGTGTCTGGGTACCTTCCCCTCCACACATGTAGCTCTCTCCTCTTCTTCTCCTCATCTCTCTGTATCTCCCCCTTCTGTGCTCTCCTTCCTTTCCCCTGTCCCTCCCTTCTGTCTGTCGGGTTGTTTGATCACAGCAGCAGGTTTTGCTGCGTGAGAGGCAGCTAGCCAACTATGATGCTGGGGAAAGACTATATGTTGGCCATTGTGATTGTCAATTATGAGGGTAGGTGCATTTGTCGGGGTCGACTGTAGGCTGCTCTGTGGGGTTAGAGTTTGAGCGCTGTCTGAGTGTGTCTCTGTAAGTGTGCTTGTGCAGATTCATAGGCATGTGTGCATCTGTCCTGAAGTTTTTTGTGCTAGAGTCCATATTTGCTGCATGCTGGTTATCATGACAAAATGTGGTTGTGATGGTGTGAAAGCATGGCGTTATTGGATGGAGGAACATGTGTGTATGTTTTGCTTCAGACATTCGCAGCTCTCCCCTCCCCCCTGCTCAGCTGTACTCTAGCATGGAACTGCATGCTAACTAAGGCTGTCACCGTCTAACTGCTGTGTTACTCCTGTGTGGCATATTTTTCATCAGCTACATAAGTGCTGTGTTAATCAGCAGGCTTAGTCCTAATGCACTTCTTTAGTTCCCACAATCCTTGCAGAGAGTAACACTGCTAATGTTGCCCCAATCCGTAAAAAACTGTCTCAGCATTTCTGTCTTTTCACTGTCGGTGTCGCCCTCCTCTTACATGCACATGCTTGGGGTCTACTTCTAGACCTCAGACCAGCGTTCATTCTGAGTCACCGTCTTCTTTTTTTTGCTTACAGCAGAGAGACAGGCAGTGTCTCTTCGTTGTAGCTGTATTTGTCTGACCTATTTTTTCTCTGCTCACTAAAGACTTCAACTCCCAGCAGGTGCTGCTTCACAGTTCCCTTTTCTGAAGTTCACTTTGATGATCCAACAT